GAGCAGCTTGAATTTATCACTTTGCAAATCCAATCTCCCTATTCAAAGCCTGGCTTTAACAGAGCAATGGCTTTAATTTAACCCTGTCCAGTTCAGATATGATGTTTGTGTGGGTGGATCCTGTAAGTCTGAACTGTGAAGAGTAGATGGGAGGGCATGGCTGAAGTGCTAATATTCACAGCTGCCTCCTTGCAGCAAGAACAAGATGTAGAAGGAGTGCACAGGATGGAAGAGCACTTGGGCACAAGGCACCTCAAAGGTGCCTTTTCCTGGTTAGTGCACACCCGCTCTGGGCACAGGGTGCTTGTGCTACCTCTGCATGGCCTTCTGCAAACATACCAACCTGCTCTGCCCCATCCTCTGATCAGGCCGGATGAGAACTGGCTCTAATCTAAAAACTGTGTAGCTGTGGTTAGCCTGCTGTGCTGCTTGCGTATCTAAGCCCAGCTCTCAACCTTTGCTTGTGAAAAGCTGTGGAGATATAGACAGCTGTAAGGAAAGCTGTGCATGAGCTCTGTTATTGGAGCAAACACACCTCACTCCTCTACTGTGCACCAGGCATGCACATGAGATACAATTCTCTTTGTTCAGCTCAGAATAAAAGACGTGAAAAAAGATTGAGTTTGCCAAAAAACTCAGCCATAGTCTAGATTTCCACACCCAGTCCAGATCAGGGTCACAGATTAACCCCAAATGTCAAAGCTTGAAGTATATAAGCCCTTCTTACTCAGCATCCTCCAGCCTCCATCTCAGCGGGTCATACTAGTTCATGGCATGAGAAATGACATGAGAAAAAGATTTTAATCTTCTATTGCTTGCAGCTGACATTAATTAATAACAAAAGAGTGCTGGAAATGTGCGTAGCCTCACTGCTGAACTCAGGCATGTCCCTCATCTTCCTCCCATTCACACTGCAGCAATAAAACCAAACCTGGGAAAAGTTCTGAGGACCACAGCACCAAACCACCACTGTTGTGAGGGGAGAAAAGTTGCTTGTGTCTTAGCAAAAAGCACAGAAGTGGTACAAGAGTTGGGGAGAAGGTGTGTTGTCACTGTGTGGATGTTTCTGAGGCAGGAGAACTCTCAGGAGCTGATGTCTGCTGAAAAATTATAGTCTCATATTTCTGATTGTAGCCCTGCCCTGGCAAGCAATGAATATGTACTGCCTAACATTTAGTTGGGTAGGGTTTTTGAGTAACCTAAAAAAACTTCATGGATACCTATAACTCTGCCTCACTGCTCAAATATCCTCCAGATCAATAATCAATAAGGTGGCAAAAACAGCAGAACACAGACAAAGTGAGCGCAGGGTTATTCACTCTAAGAAACTCTTGCCATTTCATGACCTGCCTTGGTTTTTCTCTTCTTGACATCTTGTGATTTATAAAAATACTTTGTCTCTTAGCAGTGATTCCTGATCTTCTTGGATCTGAAGATCCAAGTAGAAGTATTAGCATCCAGGCAGCATTTTTGTATGACTAGTGCTGCTTTGTACACTATGATCATCGCAGGAAGCAGAGAGAGGGTCCCTTCTGTGGGCTGCTGCTTTGGTTCAGCATGCAGGAGGTTATCCTCTTGCTGATGCAGGCTGGCAGCTCTAACAGAAGTGAATTCTGGGAGGGGGTTTGTGAAACAAGTGCATAAGTACTTTGGAGCCACAGCGAAATGGGCGAGAGAGCTGCTCAGTCGGTCCCTTGCCGAAGCGGCTGTGCCGAGAGGAGCGCAGGAGCGGGCTGGGAGCGCTCAGCTTCGCCCAGCAGAGGCCAGCACACACGCGGTGTTCGCAGGCTGCGCTTGCAGGGCAGAGCTGTCTCTCCTGTCCGCCCTTCCCCGGCTGGGGAAGTCTCTAAGCCTTCTTTGAGCCCTCGTTTATGTACTGCTTTGAGAGAGGTTTCCAGTGAGGAGCTCTGTAGCACAGCAGAAAGGCGCGGACATTCTGCTGGGGCAGGGACAGGCTTCCACAGGCCCGGACATCACCCGGTTTATCCAGCTGTGTGCCCAGAAGCATCCCCTTCCCTTGGAGCAGGCAGCAACTCAGTGCTCCTGAAGGCTGGGCATGGCCAGATAACGCACACAACACTTGAGAAATGCCAGATGCCAAGGAAATGAAAATTACAGGAATTGCGTTGCTGGGAGAAGCAGACAATCGAAAGCAATCGGCAATGATTGCCCTGGCCACCTCCCTGCACCTTGCTCCTCGTTTAGGATCGTTTGCAGTTCATTTGCGGACAGCAGTGAGGGCCACACCAGAGGACAGGCACGTCGCTACTCAGGAATGAAAAGCAGATGAATTAAATGAAAAGTGTGAGGAGCCCTGAGGAGGGGCCGGGAGCCCGGGAAGGAGAAGCAAGAGACAGCACCAGTACGGAAGTGAAGGAATCGCCTCACACAGCTGGAGCAAGCAGGTCGTGCAGCTCTGGAAATAGCCTTAGGAAAAGATATTTTTTTTCCCTACACTGTTTAAAAGGGCAGAAAGGATATGTTGTCCCCTACTGCTTGGCTGATAAGGGTATTCTCTCAGGATAACCATTCTTTCTAACTGAGAGACTTGCCCCCCAGACACCTCACAATTACAGAAAAAAACAGAGGTTAAAACTGGCTTGAACCATGCAGATCATGTTATGTGATCAGGTTTTTGTGGGAAAAACTGGGGCAAAGCCAGGTCAGATTGGAAGATGTGTCTCCTAGGACCAGCAAACACCAGAATGGCTTGGTTTGGCCAGAATGGCTGAGCATAACACAGGTAGGAGGCCTTCCAGCTCACAGTCAGCCGTGCAGAGGGAGGACACACTGACTGATGATGCCAAGAGTATTGTTTAGGTTTTGGAGAGGATGTTGTTGCAAACTCGTCTCCTGGTGTCACCACTGGCTGTTTATTTTCGTTCTGAGTTGCAGTAATATGTCTGAGACATTACCAGTGACTGGGTCTAGCAACTCTGCAGGCATTACACAGAAACCCCACCCAGCCTGAAGGATCTAGACTTCAGCAGCTTTGCAGCAGAAATATTGGCTCTGTATCTATGTGGGCATAGGTCACATATACCTCACAGTAGGACCTTCTCCATCTGCAGCTAAAACAAAGCTTAGCATTTTATAGCCAGGAGAAAATACAAAGGTCACAGCAAGGATGGGGATCTCTCAGGTATGCAACTTTGCAAGCTTCAATGGGACTCTCTTGCATCCTCCAGTGAAGAGCATGAGCCTGCAGTGACCTCCACAGCAAACCCAATCAAGGTAGCAGTAGCTTTTTTCTCTGACTGTAAACCAGGAAGCATGGGAGCATCAGAACCCTAAGGAACAGCAAAAGTGAAAGTGAAAAATCTGGGAGAAAATCCACCAGAAGCTCAAGGAGCAGAAGCAGAGCCTATAAAGACAAGCTCATCTAGAGCTGGAGTCAGTTGTCTCTCTCAGGCTTAAATTCCAGAGAAAAGCACCTTGGGCAGAGCTTGTGTAGCCTGACTGGCTCAAAGCATAGGCTGTGCAAGGAATCAGGAGGTGTTTGTTGAAGTGATGGTTAGAGTGAAGCCTATTGGTGTGAGATCTAGCAGAGAGGGGTGGTGTAAGACACAATGAAATTGTTCCTGTAGATGTATTCTGCATGTCATATATATGCAGAAACCTAGCTACCTGGCTGGAATAACCACCATCATTCCCTATGTCCTTCCCTGAATGTGCTCATCCCTCATCCCAGAGCTACACAGACAGGCCAGTGCAATCACCCATTGCCTCTGCACTGCTTTTGTAGGTGGTGGCACCCAGGCCAGTGTGCTGGCACCAGGCATCTCTGACCACAGTGCCTCCCATGCTGGCACAGACACTGGAGGTAGGAAGCTCACAAACCTCTGAGCAGATCATGGCAGGAGAAAGCACAGTGCTACCTGCACCTATCCTGAGGACAGCTTGCTGAGACAAGACAGTATTTGGTTATCATCTTGCTATTGCAAACCAGAGAGAGAAAATATGCACAGCACGGCACATTACAGACTTCACTTCTTGAGGGCTATGATGATGGGCCAAAACCTATCTGGAAATAGGCTGCTTCTCTGTGCCTGCAAGAAGGATATCTACAAATTTGGTCTATTTCCCTCATTTAAAAGCCTTCCTAAGCAGCACTACTTGTGGTACTCTATGCTGAAAAGATTGCAGCTGGTGCTCCTTGAAGATGGCAGCAGTCCTGAGCCACTGTTAGCAACAGAACCACTGGTAGGTGGGCTTCAGCCTTGTGTACAGAGTGAGGCTGATAAGTGAGCTGCTGGCTGCTGTGGGCTAAGGTGCAGAGACTGCCTGTATGGACTGGCTCATGTTTCCAATAAATCAGACTCAGGAGTACTAATCTACTCCTCTGTGACCTTTCAGGTTTCATCTGTTTCAATGCATGAGATAGTGCAGCAGCCTTTTGTGGAGCTGTAACTGATGGGCAAGGGGAAAGAATGTAGGCTGCAGCTACATTCCTTAGCAGGGTACCTTGGAGCAAGAGTCCTGCTAGGTCCTGTGTTCTCCCATGCACTCCAGAAAAACACCACCAGCTCCCTTCATACCATGGTGCTCCTTCCCAGCTGTGCTGCTGGCCTAACTGAAGGCTCCACCAGCCCACCAAGACCTGGAAGCTGACACGGCATGGCAGTGCACCTCAACTTATGCAAGGGAGCATGTGGAGGCATAGCCACCAGCAGCAGGGAGCTGAGAGGGTCAGCAGGGAAGAGACCTGTGGTACTACATGGCATGGCACACTCTTTAGCCAGGTTGAGCCCTGCAGCAAAGAGGGATCCATCCTCCCCAGGGACCTCATCACCCCACAAACCATTGCTCCTCAGCCTGCCCAGCCTATGTGCATGGGCCCCCCTTCTAAAAGTGGGGCTCTGATTGCTGGCCCTGGGTTAGACTCCTGTGCATACAGGGCTGCTTTCTGGGCCCCAGGTTATCCCATCCTGCTGCCTGTGTCTTCACTGTATCACACCAGGCCTTAGGAGTAACTCAAATCCTATTTTAGAAACAAAGAGTTAAGCATTTTCAATCTTTATTTTACAAAAATAAACCAGTTTTGCCCTGACACTCTGTGGCCCCCAACCTTCCCCTCCACCCCTGCTCCCTTTCCTCTTCCTGGAGGTCTGGCTGTTGCGTGACACAGCCAGCTGCTCTTATGGAGGCTGCCAGAGCTGCACACTCCTGTGAGTCTCCCCAGACAAGGAGCAGAGAAGGGGGATGGTGCCCTTTTGTGACTGCCTCTTCCTCCCAGAATCCAAGCTGGAAACTGTCCAAAGATGCCTCATGGTGGCTCTGCCATTTCTGCACAGGGAGCAAGTCTTAGGCAAATCACTCAGAATACATACTTTAAGAAGGAAGGTCTGTCTGTCCAATTCCTTCCCTTGGATGGGAAAGCAAGCCCCACAAAGTTACTTCTTGCCATCAGTGGAGCTGGCAGGCTGCTGTCCTCCTGGCTGGCTCAGTGCTGGAAGCGTGGGGAGCTGATGTGGGGCTGGTGAAAAGAGTGTGTGGCATAAAGCACTTCTGGAGGTGGTGGAGGGGATGTCAGGATGGAGCAGAACGGTTCATGGGAGCTCAGCATCGAGGTGAAGTGCTTCATTTCCTCTGTCAGCTGCTTGATCTCCCGGCGCAGGGCAGCATTCTGTCTCTCTAAGTCTTCACTCTCCTGAGAAGACAAAACCACAGGGGCTTCCTCAGTATGCGGACCCACAGGGATGAGCTAGGGACATGAGAGTTGTGGTCCTTCGCCTCTCTGCCCCACAGAATTTCCAGAACGATATATTTCTGGTAAATTCATCACAGAGCCACGCCTGGGCAAACCCTCCTCCCCCAGCTGGCCAGGCCGGGTGTGGGTGCGATGCCGGCAGCCCCAGCCACGCTCCCCGGGCCCGGCTTACGAGAAGTGCCTGTGGCTTGCTCCCGCCCAGGCTTTCTCGCTCCCGCTCATGCACACACACATCTCCGGGCACTTCCCGGGCAGCCCAGCCCCCGGGGAGAGCACGTTGAATAACTGCCGTCTTTAACCAGAAAACCACCTGCCACAGGAAACCTGTCATGGCCCTGGAAAGAAGAGACTCACTGCTTCCTGCTAGCCTCAAGGAAAGCAGCGGCCTTTGGGGAGGAAGAGGAGACGTTTGAGTCAGAAGAAAAGAGAAACTAAGGCCTCAGAAGAACTGAATTAATACTGGTATGAATGAGAATAACAACAAAGGGGTTAAAAATGATGCTCAGCCTTGTCTCAACAATACTGAGAGCATCAAAGCCTTTGATACCTCTGCTTCTGCTGAAGTGCAGCCAGCTCCAGGCTGAAGCATTGCAGGCATCAACTGACCATGAAGCCAGCAGCCTGGGCAGGAGCAGAGGATTGGAAACTCAGTTGAGAGTGCTAAAGCAAGACCCAGTACTTGGAGGCTCTGGAAAGCTGCACCACCACCTTTGCAAAGCAAACTTTCTGCTTGCCCCTCTGCTGCCATGCTGATTCCAGATGGTGCCCACTCTGTGCACAGGTTGAAATGCACCCAGCAATTACAGCTGCTCCCACAGCAGGAACTCACAGAGCAAACAGCATCTCTCAGGGGAGACCATCTGGTTTGGAAATCATGACTGTTGTTGAACTCAGGAACTGATGGGAATCACCCAGGGGCCAGGAGTCCCAGCTTTCCTATGACTCATTCCCCTCAAAACACAAGCTAGAAAACCCTGGGGCAGATGGAGCTGGTGGCTCCTTTCATACCACCATAGCTCAAAAGGAGCCATGCTTTTCTGTGAAAAACCACATCAGAGAAACGAAGTCCCTGATGCAAAAACATCCAAAGGCAAAGGGTGCTCAGGGAATGAACCCAGGAGCAACAGGGGGTCACTGTCCACTGGAACTGAAAAGAACCTAGCAGAAATTTACCATCCATCATCTACTTGCCGCCCTGCATTTTTCATCTGCCTGTTGGGATCTAAAATGGACTTAGCCCCACTGCCCCATCCCAATGGGAAGGCAGGGACTGTGTGCTATCAGTGGTAGCTGAGCAACAGTAATCTCATAAGCAAGTGCTCTAAGAAAAGCAGCCCAATCCTGCTTGGTGCACAGCTAGGCAGGATTTTCCTGAAGGAAGCTCAGAGCCCATACCTACCTCTAGGATTACTGTAGAGAGAGCACTGACCCCAAGGAAAGGGTATTTTCTCACCTCTCTCAGACACAGCTGCCCAGAGCCACTGCTGCAGGCTGATGTAATGCAATCAGCCTAGAACCATGTCAGCTCAAGCAGGCTCATCAGCTACTGAGAAAAGAGTGAAATCTCTCCCTTAAACCTAGCTCCAACCGTGGACTAAGGGCACTATGTAAGGAGGAAGGTTCAGAAATGGATTCTCAATAATTATTTCCAGTTATGGGAACATGGAGACTGCTAAATCAAAGGATGATTTTCAAACATGAGCTCAGCTACCACTTTTCAAAAGACAGCCAGGCCCAGCACAGGGATAAAGATGGTTTCTGCCCCTGCAAGCTGCATGTTCTTCATCCTTTCCATGAGTGGCCCAAAATACATGGGACACATTTATCCATGTGCAAAATGCAGAGCATCCCAGCCCTTATACTCGAGCACTGACCCCATACACCTGCCCAAACACACACAGCCAGAAGTGACCATCCCTCCTGAAAGGCAGATATCTAATCCCTCACACTGGGAAGAGTTGTTGGGGGTGCCCACAGTGGCACAGAAAAGTATATTTGTATGCTGTTGCACCTCTACATAAGTGGTGGCATGAATCTCAAACCTGGGGAGAGCTAAGCCAGGTGAGACTATGCTTTCAAAGAGCTCAGTCAGAAGAGGTTGGGAAAGGAAATTACTAATGAAAGACTGAGAGATAAAGATGGATTCAAAACTAGTTGCAAAACTAAACGCTTCAGTGGCAGTCATCCTGGGCTGTGTGCTCTCACTGCAAGCACTGACTCCTACATCCTGCCCTGGCCTCACTTCTCCTGTCCTGACTCCACTGAGCATCTCTGCTCCGAGTCCCAGGGGAAAAGCACAGGTATCTCCTATGAGTCCTAAGCACCAGGGAGGAGAAAGGGTGGGAATGCTCACCAAGTGCAGTGTGTCTGCTTTCTGGGTCTGCCTCAGGCGGCTCTTCTGGGCAGCAATGCGATTCTTCTCCCTCCTTTGGACTTTCCTCATGTCATCAGAAGAGTCCTAGGGAAACAAAGCATGGAAATGACTGGGTATTCTCTCCCTTACCCTCCTCCTGCAGGGCAGTAGTTGGGAAAGGGACACAGCAGATAACATCATTGAAGCACAGGACACACCCTCTACAACAGTACAAAGCTGTGGGCCAGGGGATGTGATGCCTTTAGTACCCCTGTTGCCAGGAGGGGCACATCTGACATCCTTGGGGATCCCAGCACAGCTGGGAAATGACCACTCTTTCTTCACCAACACACTGGCCTGGGATATAGTTTGATGGACCAGAGTAAGGACCTCCCTCTGGAAAAAGACAATTTGAATTCTTATACAGAAAACCATTTCCTTTCCTGTCTCTCTGCAGGGCAATGGCACTGCAGACATTCCAGCTCCTTGGCTATACCATTTTTCCAGATATTCAGCCTGTGTTTTCCTCTTTTCACCCCTGTTGGTTCCTCCCTTCTCCATGACCCTTCTGTCTCAGGCTTTATTTGTTGCTCAATATGGCCCCTGCTTTGTTTAACAAGACAGACTCAGAGCTTTTGTTTTTAACACAGATCTTATTTGCTCCACCTCTCTTATCTCTGTCCTTACTCTTTTCTGGAGTCCCCTGTTAGCAATGCCTGCAGTGCTGACTGCAACACTCCCAAGCCCCTTAGGCAGGGGAGGACAGAGGTCTCCAGGCTTCATGCACCAGCCATTCTCTGCTGAGATCTGGTCCTAATGCTGCCTTCTGACAGTTGAAACTGTCACACAGACTTTCATCTTCTATTTTCATATTGCACTGCCCCTCTTGTGGACTCTTTAACATTCACACCACCACTTCTCCACAAGACTACAAAACTCAGCCACAAAAGTTATCTTCCCAGCCCATTTATCTGTCCACATCCTCTCCCCCCTCCCCCAAACCCAAGATATTTTTCTTTGAACTTAACCGTTTTATCCTTGCCTTCAATACCCTGAAAATGTCTCAGATATAGCACCTCCCATATCCTGCACCAAGTGCAGTCCCTATCCTTTAGAAATCCTTGTGCTTTATCCCAGTCTTTACTAGGATGCAAGCCAGGATGCATTCCCATCCTTGTTTGGAAGCCAAAAATCATCTGCTTTGATGAACCCCAAGATTTCTGAGCAAAGTCTCAGGCACTTGCTCTTGTTGCCAGCCCTAGAGAAATGGCAAATGACAGATAAAATAAAGGTTAGCCAGAAAAGGCAGTGAGAATACCTCAGACTCGTGTCTGTATCTGCCAGCAAAAGACCTACCGTTAAGGTATGCCATGCAACAAAACAAAATCCCTCTGTGAAGCATCACTGACATGAAAAACTGCTGAGGCTGAACAGTAAAGAAAGCAGATCCAAAGTAGCAAGCTTTTCTGGGTCCCAGGTGCTGTCCAGAGAAGCAGGAAGCAGGCAGGTTGCCCCTGAGCTGTCCTGCTCCACAGCCAGGAGGTGCCTGCTCAGGCTGCTCACCAGAGCACCAAGTCACACTAAAACTTCCTGCCTGTCTGGCATGTATCACAGGATCCACCATGCCAGGGGGTCCTGGGCCCCCAGCTGCCCCTGGTGTAGCCCTAGGGAACCAGGTCATCTCTCTCTGCCCATATCCAGCTCAGTGGCTGGAGTTCTGCCAGGGCCCCTGGCTGAGCCCTGCATCTCTCTCCCTACAGCCATTCTTAGAAAGCTCTGCCACATTGCTCTGTGAAAACACAGACAGTGGGTGCCACCCTACTTCCTGCCCACCCGTGGCCCACCCTGAAGTAGCTGGGCAGAGCTGGGGAAGGGCCCCTGCTTTACCTGCTTGCTGGGAGGGGGAGACTGGCTGAAGCTGCTGGAATCACTGCTGTCAGAGCTGTGGGGCATAGCTGCAGCTTCTGGCTCCCAGGGTCTCTTCAGCTTCCTTTATGCTCTTGGTGTGCCTGCTCTCTGTCTTGCTTCTCTGCCTCTCTGTCCTCCTGTGTCACCTCTGATGTGGCCCTTGGCTTCCTACTCTCCCCAGTCCCAGGAGCTCTCTGTCCTCCTGCCCAGCACTCCGACACTTTCGCTGCCTCTCCTCTCACAGCCTCTGCACCTCCCTTTAGGTCTTTAGGTCTCAACCTCCTGTGGTTTCACAGAACCTCAGGGATGTAAGCTGAAAGTCACGTGGCCGGAAACTTTAAGACAAGAAGTAAAGTTACAGAAGAAGAAATTTTTTTTTTTAAACCAATTAAGAAAAAAAAAAAAAGAAGAAGAAAAAAAAAGCACATCTGGGAAAAACGAACTTCAAAATAGCCTGAAAAACCCCCGAAAAACACCTTCAGGCAGTTGAAAAACAGCACGATGGGTTTTCTCTGATACAAACAGCAGAGATGGAAAGGAAGAAAAGCCCCAGCTCTGGCTGTGAAACTTGGACCCTCAGAGGAGGGCTGTGCGGAGGAGGTGACACTGGGAGCCCCAGAAATTCCAGGGCTACTGTGTCCCATGCTAACCCTATGCAGGCAGGAGGTCAGTCCAGCTCCAGGCAACCTCAGTGCCCCAGCACAGCTGAGGAAATTCCCAAGCAGGCACACATGTCCCCACAAGCCACCCACCCCCTCCTGCCGCCCCCAACAGCACTGACGCGGGTCCCGGGGAGGGGACGGGCACCCTCGGCAGCTGCCACATCAACACTGCTCGTGCAGGTGGCTCATGTGGGCACGATGTAGCACCAGTCCCAGCTAAGAAGAAAGGCTCAGGATCATAGAACATTTGGACTGGGTTGGGTAGGACTAGTATTTTCTGTAAAGCAAAGCTATTTAGCACTTTAAAACATTCATTAGTATGTCACCACTGGCCATAAGGGAATAGCCGCCCTGGCAGACAAAGTGCTGGAAATGTAACAATCTATGGATCAGCCCATGCAGACAGGAGCAAGGAGAAGCTCCTTTGGATCCCCTTCTTTGTCCCCCAGTCTGTGTTCCCTGGGACTACTTTTGCCCTTAGTATGAGTCTCAGAAGACTAAAGATGTTCAATCAGCCCCCAGGACAGCAGTGCTTCAGGGGTACCCTCAGAGTACTTCATGCTAGTGGCTCTAGAGGTGACAGTGCAGGAGTAGGAAGTGCCAAAGCAGGGACCATTCGCTTTCTGATCTGCTCATGTCACCAGATCCAGCAGGGTGAGCAACATGCCAACAGGCTCTCCATCCACAGACAGAAGCACACGACTTCAGAGCTGCATGTGCAGCATTAAGTTCTTGCATGTGCAATAAGGAGCAGACCTAGAAACAGGCATGAACCCATGTACAGTAACTCACTCCCGTGGAAAACAGCAATTCCCAGTTCCCAACTTACTGTTTTTTGTTGTCTGTGGGTCTTTTGGTTGAGTTTCTCCTGCCTCAGGCAGGAACAGCTGGCAAGTCTCAGCAGCAGGCCATAGGTAAGGGCACTTGAGATGCAGTCATCGTTTGGGAAAGAGTATTGGAAATAATTTCTATATTGCAGCACAGAAAACACACTTGCAGAGAAGCATGAGCTTGGAAGACAGTGCAGACTCGCATGGGCACTGCCAGCATTTCTTCCCATCCCTGCCACTCATGGAGCCAACAGAGGAGCAAATATGGCCAAAATCAAGAACTGCTGCAGGCTGGGTGGCTCAGGGAAATCTCCTGATTCAGCTCCAATAGCAAAACTACTCCATTTGACCCATTTCCCTTTTTAGAAACATCCTGTGCCACTGGTGTTCTACTCTTAGCCCTTTTATCTGAACAGCACTGAGTGTATTTTTCCTCCTGATGTGCTGTATGGATATGCTAGGATCCACCACTTTTTAACATGACTGCAAGGGTTTGCTTGGCATGACCCACACTGAGGGACCCAATTTCCTGGAAGTGCAGCTCCCCTGTAGCACGCAGGGCTCTTCTGGTGCAGCTGGCTCCAGAAATGGAGTAGCCAAAGGGATCAGTGAGGTGAGAGGTGTTGAGTTCAGGCCTCCCAAGGCACTGGCTAGCAGCACAACCCTTGAAGGATCCATTAGCTCACTGCATCACTACACTTCCTCTGAACTCTGCAACCCTGTGTGGCACCTCCTTTCCAGGAAGCACACTGCTGGATTCCCACTCTCCCGAGGAAACCACACTCCTCTGCTGGTGAGCAGCTCTCAGAGACTGCCTGGCCTGTCCTGCTCTGCAGGCTGCTGGATGGAGGGAGCTCCCTCCTCAGAGAAAAATATCCTTGTTCCATTATTTGACAGATTAGCTGAACTCATTCCTTTTGTACCCAGCAGGGCCAGCGTCTGGGAGGCAGTTGGGAAGGTGGTGGGGCTGTTGGCAGAAGGTAGAGAGGGAAGCTGAGTGTCCTGGCAGGAGCTGGACAGTCAGTGCAAAACTGTCCAGAATGTGGCTATGGCAAAGGCTGTGCTTTGAGGAGGAGGAAGGTTTTGAGTGCAACTTGATTTGCCCAGAGCTGGGCTTTTATGAACAGCTGATGAAGACATCTCAGGAGAGAGCAACAGCATGGGAGAGGGTCTGACACTCGGTCTTTCTGAGCAGCAATAAGAGAGCATCCCTTTCCTTGCCTTGTCCAAACACACTCTTTTCTCTTGAACTGGCTAGGATGTCAATGAATTCCTGCCACTTATGAACATCTGTAAGAGAGACAAGTGTCTCCTGGTGGGAAGATGGGCAGAACCTTCACAATTCTTCTCTGGGCTGGTCTGGACCCACGTTTTCTCCTCATAGGCAGAGAGAGCCCCCTGCCATTTCTCTGGTCAGAGATGTGATTCCCCCAACCCAGAGCAGCAGAAACCACCAGTATGTCTCCACCAGCATCTGCTCACAGCTTTGTGGGAACTGACCTGGGCACCTGCTGCAGGCACAGCATGGGGAGCTGATTTCCTGCCCAGGCTCCCCCCCTCTATGAGGGAGAGCTTCAGGAGTCAGTCTCCTAATCTCTGTACATGACTTAGGTGTCTAAATTTACACTGTCAATAACATTCCCTGACTTCCTCTCTGGAATAATTTAGTTTTCTTTGATCTTAATCACAGGAGTTGTGAAATCACTGTCAGTGGCACTGGGAAAACTCACCAGTGTTAGGCTACTGCCATACCAGCAGCTTGATGGAGAAAGGATGGTTCCAGAGGTTTTTAGGGGAAGGACAGGACCAACCTTGTACTTGTCCCTTGTAAATTACAGCAGGCAATGCTGAAGGAAGTCTTGTTCTCCCAGGACAGAGTGGCTGCAGGGACTTGGGGCCTGGGCTCAGCGTGATCTGCAGAGAAATGGTTTGATAGCAGCAAGATGCAGGTCAGCAAGAACAAATGCAAATGTAAAGTGAAGCGAGCTGTAGGTAGAAGATCTGGGGAATAACCCATGGGGCAGCAGAATAGAAGGCAAAAATCCAGGAGTTGCAAAGCACTGAAAACTGAGGTTTTGCTAGCAGCAAATGGGTCAGGTATTGACTTGGGGTTCTGGGCAGGGAGGAGGAGATGATTGCCTTGTGCTGCCTGTGCAGGACACTTTCAGAGTCCCAGGCCAAGGAGTGGAGTAGTCTGGAAGAAAATACAAAGGATAAACACACAAAAATATTGCCCTAAGAGAAGGAGTGAAGAAATTGTGCCCATTTAGCCTAGAAAAGAGAAGTCTTGGGGGTGGGAAGTGGGTGGTGAGGAAGGAACAGTCTTTCATATGTTGTAATGGAAAGGGTGGCCAGCTGGTTTCTGTGCAGCCAAAGCAGGGTAAGAACCAACAGGCTCCAACTGCAGCAGGAAAGGTGGAGGTCTGATATTCGAAGCAAGTTGAGGTTAGGAAGACCTTGGGATGGGCAATTCAGGAAAGTTATTCAAGCCCCTTTATATGAAGTGGCTGGGAAGAAACCTCTCTCAAAAGAAATCCAAGTTGAATCCTGCCTCTGTGGGATGGATTATGTTATGAATTATGTTTCCAGGGTTTTAAATAAGGAAAAAGGAAAAAAAAAAAAGGGGGGGGGGTAGAAAAAAGTGTGTTACTAGGATGGGTTCCTCAGAACCAAGAGATCACATGGGGTATTTTTCAATGAGCTTTGCTTCAAAGCCTCTCTCCCTATGTCCCACCTATGCAACCAGCTTCCTCAGCACAGGTGAGTGCTGGAGTTTCCTTATAAACCTGCTGCTCCAGAGCTCTTGCCTGCAGCAGGCTTATGACAGCAACATTCAAAACAGCATCTCAGCCTCACTCATCTTGTTTGCAAGGCCATTCAGTGCAGAGCGCTATTTAAAAATCCAACCTAGAGCAGTTACCAACTTCAGCCTCCTGTAAACCACCGAGGTTGTTTCTGCTTCAAATGTAGCATTTTATGCAAATAATTTCTTACAATATTTGGACAATTGCACTGACTTGTTTATAATTCCTCATGAGTTTGAAGACTTTTGCAAAAATCAGTGCTGAGAATGGCTGTGTTGAACAAAGTCCCTGCTCTCTGCCAGGTGCTTCTGCCATGTCCAGTTCTGCCAGCACCTGTTGTCCTGTCTGCAACGTGTGCAGCTTCCTCAGTCTCTGTCACCAGGGCTATTTCATCTTGACTGAGCTGAGTGTGAGAGTGAGGTTGTGCCAGGAGAGCTGAAGCATAGTCCCACCAGATTCATCCCACTTGGCACAGAGCAAACACCAACACTTTCAGTCCTTACTGGGTGCAACCAGCCAAAGTACAGGAAAACAGGTACTTTACACCCAGAATGTCAGATAAATGACAAGGGCTGTAAATCAAGCACTTAAAAGTATGGAAATCCCACTATTAAATCCCTAAAGCACACAGCATTTATGCCCTCATGCTGTGTAACATGCTGTGCTCTGTAGCTGTATGATCCACTAGGGTTTATTCCCTGGGATGGCCATGTTACCTTCATCTTGTCCTGCAGTCAGCATGCTCCAACATCCTGCTTTTCCATTTCTTCACAGACTCTTTCTAATGCTCGGCACTTCAGCACTGAGTGACTGCTTCAGGGTTATTAATGAAGCTGTTTTCTCAGGAACCTTTTCAGGTCCAGAGGTGAGGATGAAGAAATGGAGTTATACCTATTTAACAGGTGCAAAATAAGAGACAAAGGAGATT